GTTACCCCATGACGGTAACGCCCGAAAAACCGGCCGCAGGAGGAACCCCGCCGACTACCAAGGACGTCGAATTTTGCCTCCCCCGGCGCCTGAGCGTCCGAACTCCACGTCCCTGAGCTGCAGGTGGCCCGGAGCAGGAGGCCTAGAGGAGGAGGAAGAGGAGGAGGAGGAGGAGAAGCAGGAGGAGCCTCCAGGGCGCGCGCGCCGCCCGAGGACGTCGATTTTTTGGCGCCCCCTGACGCCTGAGCGTCCGGAATCTACGTCCCTGGGCGGCAGCGGGCCCGCATAAGGGGGCCCCGAGCTTTCCCCCATATTCGCGCCCACCACCGCCCAGGGACATAGATTTCGAGCCATCTGGCGCGGTGCGCCCTGCGGCCTCGGCTGGGCCACCAGCGGTTCCTGGCCCCCGCCCCCCCCGTCTGCGGGCACACCGATGCCCCAGATCCATTTTGAGGGTCCCGGGGCCGGCAACGATCCCCTTCCCCCCCCCTCCTGGGTTCGAACTTTTTACCCTCCAGGTCTCTTGTCGCCAGCAACTGCTCGACGTGGACTCCCCCACACGAGGACTGGAATACCTTCATGGATCAATCGGTTCCACAGAAGGAATTTGGTAAATCCGAAATTCGTTTTGGTTTCGGAATCCTTCTCCCCTCCCTCCCCTCTACGCTCCCTCCCCTCCCCTCCCCTCCCCTCCCCTCCCCTCCCCTCCCTCCCCTCCCTCCCACTCCGACCCGTCCAGAAGCGTAAGGCTGCTGCCGCTTCACATCCGTGCCCTCCGATCTATTTCTATCACTCCGTACGTCCGTGCACTCCCAAGGAACCTTTACGCTGCGACTTGCTGGGAAAAAACTGTAGCATCCTCCCAGAACCCCGAACTATAGTCATTATCACCTGGGAATTATTCCCAGGGTTGTTCGGCTAATTTTCCTTGGCGTCGTCGTCGTTGTCGTCTTCCACAATATCATCCTCACCATCATTCTCACCATCACACCGTAGCCATGGTGGCTCGTGCGGAGGCGCTCTCGGGAGCGCCGCAGCTGCGCCGTGCCCTCCGGGTGCGCGCGGCCACCCTCCCGGCGGTGCGATGGGGCGAGGCGGGCGTGGTGGCCTCTCGGTGCGCCATGGCCCCACGCTCGTCACCGGTGCATCGGTCGGTGAAGCCGCCGAGCTGATGCTGCGCCTGCAGGCGGCGATGGACTCGGCGGCGAGGAAGGTGCAGGAGACGGCTGCAGCTGGACACCAGCAGGCGCGGTCGGCAGCCGGCGCGGCCCGCCCCGCCCTGGGCGAGCGCGCGCAGGAGTTGCTGGGCGCGGCGGCCGAAATGGTGGCCGTTTTGGGTGGCCCTACGCTGGCGGCAAGCCTCAGGGGGCTCCGGGAGCGCGGGCGGCGTCTCCCGCCTTTGCTGGAGCGGAGGTGCCGCGAGCTGGACGCGGCCAGTGCGCTGCTCCGGCGCCGAGGGGGCGAGGTGGAACGCCTCCTGCAGAGCGTGCTGGCGTGGCGGGACGGCAGGGGCACCGAGGAGTGCAGCAAGACGGAGTGGCACTACGGTGCGAGGGCATCACGGGGGCCAGCGGTGCTGGCTCCACCTCCCTCTGCGAGGAGACGGAGCTGGAAGGCGAGCACGGCTTCGGCAGCACCACCGACGCCGAGCGCGAGCACCTCGACACTGCGGACGTGGAGGTACTCGAGAGCTTCAACGGGGAGGAGCTCCAGGGCCTGGGCGAGGACATCGAGGAGAGCAGCACGACGGAGAAGTAAAACGGCCTTGACGGCATTGCGGTGTCGGGCGACCCTGGCTCAACCTACCTCGGGGTAGCGACGGGGCTGGAGGGCGTGCGTGACCGCTGCAGCGCCACCAGAGCCGAAGTCTTCGACATCGCTGACGCGGGGGACCAGAGGGGCTTCGACCCCGCGGAGCTCCAGGGCCTCGGTGTGAACGAGATCGATGCGTGTAGGGCGGCCGTTGGGGGCCGAGCGGCGGCTGGGGCATCGGAGGCTGGGAGTCTGTTGGCAGTTACGGCGGCGGGAGCATCGGCGGCAGGTGTGGTGGCGGCGACTCCAGCTGTGGCGGTTGACGTGCTCACGGATCCCATGGAGGACGGCGTCGACAAATCCATCAGGAGGAAGGTTGAGCTGGAGATCGAGAGAACTGTCAACTCGGCGGTCAAGGCGACTGTCCCGCCGTGGGAGCGCGAGGACCCCGATGACGACGACGACGACCTTGCCTTCAAGCGCCGCTTCCGCGAGAAGCTGGTCAGGAGAAGGGCGGACGAGCACGGGTGAGCTGCCGCGGCCGCGGGTCGGCCGTGGCGTGAGACTTAAAGTGGACCTCGGTGAGTTGCGGTGCGCCATCGGGGAGATCGCAAACAAACAACAAACATCCTCACCATCACCATCATCATCAGCATCATCATCATCACCATGATCATTATTATACTCATCATTATCATCACCATGAGCATCCGCATCAACATCATCAGAATCATCATCATCACCATCA